ACTAAATTTCAGATATGTTGTAGTCAACACCCATTGGAATAGGTTTCATGAAAAACTTTACCACATCTGAGCATGATAATCCAAAGTCAAGAAGTTAAACTACGAAAATGAACAAAAATAGAATTTACATTCAATAATGCACTTTTAGCTCACATTCATACCAATCAATGTAAAATCTATGAAAAACACAAAAATGATGTAAAATGCTATACAATATCAAGAACTAACTCAAAATATTGGGTGAATAACATGATAAATCATGTGTAAAAATGAACCCAACACCTTGCCCTAATCATTAGGTCACTCATGGGAGTGAGCACACCCAATGAATTCCTAACAATTGCAAACAATTGCAAGGAATAATAGAAAAGGAATTACAAGATTATTTTGTGGCTAACGGTTTGAAAAGAATAAGAACAACCTCCAGCTTAGCTTATGGACTATATGAGAAGTGGCCCAATACATAGTGGATCTAACAAGCTCTCCCCCTTAAAATAAGGCTTGTCCTCAGGGCTTAAACGATGGAAATAGGGCCAAAATGTCATCAATTGGTTCCCAAGTAGTATCATCGGCATGAAGACCAGCACATTTAATTAACCATTTGGTGATTGGACAAGCACCAGCAAATTTGAACTTGACATGGCTTGTGAAGTTTGGATACTACAATTATATCCCTAAGCTACAGAACTTGCAAGTTCATTCTTTGTCCCATATGTTCAAGTATGACGTTAACCCAAAAAACCACTAAATTTTTTGTAAGTATCATTGTACGAATGATTTCAAATGGATGTGAAGAATGCATTTTTGCATAGAGAACTAGAATAAGAGGTTTACATGAGCTTGTTGCCTAGTCATTCTAAAAAAAAACAAGAAAGAATAGTCTGTAAATTGCACAAGGCTATCTACGGACTTGAGCAATCCCCACGAGCTTGGTATGCCAAATTAAGTTCAATTCTTGAAAGTATAGATTTCAAGAGAAGTAATGCATATTCATCTTTGTTTGTTAAATATGGGCCTACTGGAAGATTGGTGGTACTTATATATGTTGATGATCTCATTGTTACAGGCAGCAACATGGGAGTGATTCATAAACTGAAGCCCTTTCTTCACAAGAAGTTTGCTATTAAGGATTTAGGGTCCTTAAAATATTTTTTGCGTATTAATTGAAATTGCCTCCTCAAGCAAGGGTTTATTTCTTAATCAATGCAAGTATGTGATGGATCTTCTTCAAGGAACTGGAATGCTAGAAACCAAACCAGTTATTACCCCAATTGACTGCAAGGCCAAACTTGGTCTAGATGGAGAATTGTTGGTAGATGCTAGTTATTATCTGAGGCTGGTTGGGAGGCTTATTTATCTTACTATCACTCGTCCTAATATCTCTCATACAGTAAGCTTAATAAGCCAATTCATGCATTCTTCTCGATCAACTCACCTACAGACAATCAAACGGATTATTCGTTACCTAAAGGGTTCCATTGGTCGTGGTGTCTTGATAAGGAAAAAAGGAAATAGTTAAATTATAGGGCACTCATATGCTGATTGGGCAGGGTGCCAAGTTGACTGAAAATCCACCACGAGATATTGTACCTTCATTGGAGGAAATTTGGTAACATAGAATAGCAAGAAACAAAGTGTTATTGCTCGTTCAAATACTGAAACCGAATATAGAGGTATGGCTGCTGTCTCTTGCGAATTAATTTGGCTCCAAGGACTTCTCAATGATTTGGGCTTTAAAGATCCACATCCCATGACTCTCTTTTGCGATAATCAGGCTGCAACTCACATCGCTTCCCATCCCATGTTATTTGAACACCCCACTCCCCACTCTTTTTTCCGCTAGACATCTATTTTCCTTCATCCAGAATACCCCAGGCATTTTAGTAAACTGCGAAAGAATAATTATTTATCATTTACCATAATATAAATCTACAAAAAAGATGGAGCGTTCTTTCCTATGATGAAGTACTTGTAAATCTCGGTTTGTTACTTGTGATTGGGCAATGTCTTTTCTCCAACATAATGCAACTATTTGAGTCTAATCCTTGAGAAATTGCCTAACCCAGAAAACAAAGAACAAACCAAAAATTGGTTTTACCTGTTGAATTGCAAATTCTAGTGTTTGAACAAAATCACATTGTTTCTCTTATGAACATTTCAAAAACAACCAAAACCGTGTTTTCCTTCCTAACTAACTTGAATTTGGAAAAGACAAAAATAAAAAAATAAAAAAAATTGTATCATGGCCTTGAAATCTGACTGACAAGAAAACCTGGCAACAAATACAGTCAATTGTTATGGCCATTAGGCAATGTGTGTTTTCTTCTCTTCTTTATCAAGTAGTAGCCAAGGCCTCCAAAAACCAGAAGAATAATCAACCCATCAACCACTCCCACCAGGACCAAAACCCACCTTTTCAAATTGGACTTTCCATGGCCCCCATGAGTTCCTTTTCGAACCTTAACCATGTAGCTCAATCCACTTCCCCTTTCAACCTGTTTAACCCCAATTACCATTCCATAAAGAAAGCACTCTTCTACTTCCATGCCTCCTTTTGCAGTTGAATATAATGCAGATGTACAATTACAGTCTTCTAAGCACAAATTAGCACATGCTTCTTTGCTCACGTTAACTATTTTAGGAGCACCCCTCAAAACACTACCAACACCCTTTAATTCAAGCATCTCTGCTTTAGTCTTGCCATTGCCACAAAACCCACCTGAAATTCCTTGACTGCAATCAGAATTACCACTTCTACTGGTCTCATTTTCAGCTATCAAAACTTGAATGCATGAACAAGCACTGGTCAAGGTGCAAATCCCATAAGGCTTACAAGCCAATGGAAGATCACATGTGGTGTTGAGTGCTTGAAAAGCAGCATCAAATTTAGCAATGCTGGGTGAGTAAAAATATAGCTTCAAATTTCCTGTTCTGTTCCCCAATGCTAAGAACCTCATGGGCTGACCAAACTGAACTGTTTGATGATCAGATGGATGAATCTGCGCAATTTTCTTTTGTTTATCATTGAATAACTCTAAACCCTTTGGACCCAATTGAACATAAGCGATGTTTCTGTTCTTGGTAGGCTTAAATTCCCAATAGGAATAGTTCCACTTACCAGAATTCAAGTAGAGAGCAATCCTGCTTTGTTCAATTTCAAGTGAGTAGTATGAAGTGGAGTTGGTTGGAAATGAAGTCAACCTAGAAGCCACACTTAGTCTCTGACCCCGAAGCATTACATCAGTTGGAAAATTAAAACTCTGCCACTTGATATTGCCCAACCCATCTACCAGAACTAAATTGCCTGTCCTTAATATCTGTAACCTCTGCATCAAAATGACCAAAAAAACAACCAAAAAAAAAATTCAACATTGATCACACATATTTTATTACACATATTGTATAATAAATAAATAAAATAACATAAATTTCTCAGGTTTTTTTTTCTCTTTTTGGCTATAGCTTTACCTGCACACCTTGTCCAGAAGTCCCAGTTCTCCATCCAACTCTGTCTTTTAGACCCTTCAACCTCAAATCTCCATCTAGGGTGAGTTGAAGGACGCATATATTTGAAGTATAAAACTTTGAGTAATGACCAGAATTCCAAACCTTGACATCTCCAAGAAAGACTTCCAAGGAGCATGAGTATTTGTCATTCACAGCTTCAACACTCAATGCAGTTTTAAAAGTTGGTGTGATTTCATTCGTCTCCATCAAAAAAGCTCTCCCAATGAATCCCAAACTGTATTCAATAGGCACTGCCACAGTGAGCTGGTACCCAAGAGAGATATCTGTTTTGGAATGGCCATAAGTGAAGAAAAGAGAGAGAGAAATGAACAAATAGAGCTGCATGTGTGAATTTGCAGTCTCAAATTTCGCTTAGCAAGGCATTGAGATTTCCGTTTTCTTTTCTTTTCTGGCAAGAATTGAGAAGAGAGGCAGAGAAGGACAAAAGGTAGGTATGAAATGCGCAGCTTTGCTAAAAGGGTTTGAGCTTTCATTTTGCTTTGTTTAATGTCTGCAAATGTGGGGAATTTAGTGGGGTTACTCATAGCACGCTGGAATGGCTTATGAATATTCTTGTTAAGGTATAATAAAAAGTGAAGGTATTAAAAGGTGATTCTCTACAGGCTGCCCACGTGAGGATGTTTTTGGTAAAGAGCATTAATTCACCAAATATTCTCCTAAATTTTTGTACTCTAATTTTTGGTAAATTTTTGTTAGATTGTGAACATTTGGGAAACTCCTAAATAAATAAATAAAGAATTTCAAAACTATAGGGATTCACATTTAAAAGAGTTTACTTTAGAAATCTATACAAGGTAAGGCAGCATTAACCAAGGAGAATTAAGGTGGTCTAACAAATTATAAAAGAAAATTTTGTTAAATATTGACAAATCTTTCTAAACCATTCAAATGCATAAGGGGTGGAGAGAGGAATCGAATTTAAGTATAAAAAAATGAGCACATTCTCCTTACCAATTAGCCTAACTCGGATATAACCTCGTCAAATAAATATGAACAAACAATCTGATTTATAGTGAAATAACTTAATATTTGTAAACGATTTTGCTTGTATTATTGTGCAGTAAAAATGGCGTACAAGTGCAGCTTGTGCCTGCTTGTGGGACCCCCGCCCATCTAAATGCGTTGGGTGTTAAAGCATTAATCGAGTGCCATTCTCTCTAGTGGGCAGCAGCAGGGTCCTTTAAGATTGTGAGTGGCATCATGGAAAAAATGGAGCATGGTGCCACGTGTACACTCAGGGTGCGCTACACGTGTCAGACTATATCGTGCTGACATTGTTCTCGCGGCACAATGACGTGCGGGGTTTTGCAAAACTGATGGGCCGGCTGAGGTTGATTGAGTCCGCAACTAACCATATGTAATAGACTAAGTCCTTATGTTTTTATTGGGCTTTTGGTTAAGCCCATATATTTATGCTGGCTTAGGCTTTCGTATTTGAAAGTATGTCACGCCCGCTCGTGATTTTTCCTACGTATTTGCAGCACAGCAATAAGAATCGGATCCTACCCGATTACACTAGAGTAAAGTAACCGCCAAACGACCGAACCAAGAAACAGAGCATTGAATTCGAATCTCCCTCCCCGACGATTCATCACCGTCGTTCAATCTTCTTCGTTTTAGAATATTAATGGATCGAGCATGTGGCTCCTGCGCCGTTCGATATCGGGGCTGTTCCTTCTCCGCCAAGTACTTTCTCCACTGCCAGTGCCAGAGAAGAAGATGACTTGTAGAAACGATAGGCTTGCTGCGAGCTCTGGAGCACCAGCATCACCCGCCACCCCAAGTGGAAATTCTGTAATTCCTTACGATTCCGTGAGTATTTTGTTTTCTAATTTGGGTATAATTAGTATGACATTTTTATTATTTTTCTTTTCATTTATTTCCGTTTGTTTTTTATTTAATTTTTTGGTTTAAAAAGATGATTGATACATCCTGTAAGAAGCAAAGCGAGAAGAAGTTCACAAGCAATGTTGTTAAAATGTATAACAGGTGTCAAGCTGTGGGTCTTGGTCCAATATTTCTGCTGGTGTTAAGAGTGGAAAGCCCCATAACAGAAACGAAAATTGGCAGATGATAATGGTCGGAAGTTTTGAGATTTATTACAAGATTTCTTCTGTGTCATCTGGTATTAGATTAAGGCAACTTGTTCCCATGTCTGCATCAGGTCCTACTGATAAGGGAATATCAAATACTGCTTATATTCATTTCAATAAAAGGAAATATCAAATGGATTCAATATCAAAGCTAGTTAATATGGAGGATGCTGCTGCAAGTTCAAGTTCTGAGAATGTAACTAAGTTTCCACATGAGAGCCCTATGTCTGATTGCCGAAGCGAGATGGAGAAATATTGTTTGCCTACGGAGTTTGGGAATAAAAGAAAGCATTTCAGTGCAGTAAAGCCTCATTCTGAACCAAGAAATATGAAATATGGACATGCTTCCAAGAATTCAGATTGTTCCGAGGGTTTTCGTTCTAATGAACCTTTCGATATATGCTTGTTTGGAAGCAGAAGTTATGAACTTCAAGCTTCTTTGTATGCAAGAAATATGGAAAACCAGAATGAAGAAGATCACATGGTTGAATTTACAAATCCAGAAGCACTGAATTCCACCAATCTAATACTGAGGCCGGGGATGGTATTATTGAAACATTTTGTCACCCACACTGAACAGGTATTGCTTTCTTTCATTTTAAATCTTAGTTTAGCAAATTAGCAATTCTATTCAAGAGCATTAATCAGAAAATGATATGAAGTTTTGCAGACATGTATGCCTTTGATCAATAATATAGTATTAGTAATGTCTTTTGTTTTCTGAAATCAGAAAATGGCATTCGGATATGTATTAATGCCCATTATTAACTGACTCCTAAGTTGACATCTCAATTTTTTTTTGTCTCTGATGGTTATTCAGAGACAATGTCTGGGTTGATCTTTTGGTTGTTTCTGTTTTAAGGGGTAGTACATTTTTGGTTTGTGAATGAAGACTCATATTTCAGTTCTTGGAAAGTTTATTGTTTCGTATTCTTCGTAGTGCAAGCTTGTTTTTAATACCTCTGTACCATCTAAATTACAGGTTGAAATTGTGAAAAAGTGCAGGCAGCTTGGTCTAGGTCCGGGGGGCTTTTATCAGCCTGGTTACAAAGATGGAGCAAAACTTCGTCTGCAGATGATGTGCCTTGGCCGCGACTGGGATCCTGAGACGAGGAAATATGGCTCTAGACGAACAATCGATGGTACTCAGCCTCCTCGTATTCCTCATGAATTTAGTTTGTTGGTTAAAAGAGCAATTGAAGAGGCGCATGCCCATATTAAAGAGGAACTCAGAGGTAGCAGTGTGGAAGAGATACTCCCTTCAATTTCTCCTGATATATGCATTGCCAACTTTTATACAACCAGTGGACGACTTGGCCTCCATCAGGTATGTTTATGCATGTTAGTTAATGAGCATATTCATATATAACTTTGAGTCAATGCAGTTAATTTTGGTTAATCGCATTCATAATTACTCTATGTTGGTTTCAAAGATTCTGAATGTTTCTTAATAACAACAATAGCTGTTTGGTGCTGAAATGAAGTTTTTATTTTCAGGATCGCGATGAAAGCAGAAAGTCTCTCGGAGAAGGATTACCTGTGGTCTCCATTTCTGTAGGTGATTCAGCAGACTTCCTCTATGGGGATCAGAGAGACATTGGAAAGGCAGAGAGTGTTGTTCTGAAATCAGGAGATGTGTTGATATTCGGAGGTCATTCCAGACATATATTTCATGGTGTGACATCCATCATACCAGACTCAGCTCCAGTGAATTTGTTGGAAGAAACTAAGCTTCGTCCTGGCCGTCTTAACCTTACCTTCAGACAGTATTAGAGACCGTTTGTTTTCTATCCGTACACATTGTTTAGTTTTCATTATCGAAAGATCACAATCCCAGTGGATGGAGTAATATATTTCTAATATTTCTAGCAGTTCATGTCCACCACAAGCTTTCTATAGAATCTTTTATTGAGCTATGCTTATAATCAACCCTAATCCAATTGTCGACTTTGTTTAGGTACTCCAAATGAACAAGTGTGGCCAGGTATAAACAAACTCATGAACTGGCCATGAATAACCCCAGTGGAGCCCTCAAAGTTTGTCCAAGGCTGTCCCCAATTTGGATGAGATGGGGTTGGATTTTTTGTTGGTATGTCAGTTTGATTTACTCAAAATGGTTGTTTGGTGCTTTGTTATTCTGCATTGGAAGTAATACCTGCTGTGAATTAAATGTTTACGCTTGCAGCAGCAAATGTTGCAAAATCAGCAAAGAAAGCCACCCTTACTTTTATTTGTTTTCCTCCAGCATTTTTGCACTTGTGTTAAATCTTATGATCCCTATTGCTTTTAGCCTAACATTATGGTACAGATTTTCTGTGTAAATATCTATTAATTTGAGCTTTGAATATTACTTTTAGGAATATTGGGATTCCAAAAATCCAATGCAAAAATAAATTATTCATTAGGTAAACGACGGTGAAAAATAAAAATACAGCTCCAATTATTTTCTTCATCATAGCTGCATCAACTCTCGTTTGATACAATTAACAATGGAGGCTGATCAACTGCATCCATCCTGTCCATATCTTTGCAGTTACTTGACATCAATCATCATTTTCGCTCCCTTAATACAGTTAGTTTTAGTTACAGCTACGAAGTAGATTGTGCCTTGCTAATTTGGGTACGATACTGTGAGTATTTTCTTTTCTAATTTGGGTATAATTAGTATGACATTTTTATTATTTTTCTTTTCATTTATTTCCGTCTGTTTTTTATTTAATTTTTTGGTTTAATATTCCAAATTAGAGGCTTGTTTTGTTCACTAGCAAGAAGAATTTTTTGGTTACGCAACGATACTGTGACTTGTACTTTGTTCACTGATATCAAATTAGAGGCTTCGATCATTCACGTAAACATCTGAGCATAAATTGTTTTGTTCTTGTTGTCTAAATTGTTGACGGTCTACTTTCTTACAGCATTTGTTAATGTGTTTTCCTACAAGGTCTTTTGGCTGTACAGCTGTTTGATTGGTGCATATGCATCAGAATTGTGCTGTTAGATAATACAATTATATCTCTTGGCTTTTAATAATCTTGAACATGTCAGAAATCTAGATAATCTGTGGGAGGGACTTGTAAATTAAAAATATCAAGCCACATATGCAAGGCATCTAATTGGAGCTGTCAAGATAAGATACTTTGTCCCAAAAACAATATGGACTTTGATCTGACATGGGTCCTCTGACTATTTTCTATCAATTATGCCATTCCAAATCCAGTACGTTTAATATGCTGACTGTATCATTGAGTCATTGGCTTGGCTTTGCATTGATACGTGGTTTTGAATAGATGAGTTTCTTTAAATGTTATATTCAAATTCATAGTCTGATAACATAACATGTTAGATTTTTTTAAACTCGAAAATATCACTTAGACACGTACCTTCTTTAAAAGATTGTTTGGAATTAAAGGGATGTCTATGGAGGTCTTTAATTTGTTGACACTTGTTTTAAAGTAACTTGGCCTCCATGATAGGGATGTGGAAATCCTACACAGATAACACGCAATGGTGGCATCTGATTAGCTTGGATGTCGAAATCCATTTTGTTATTGTAAATTTGTAATGATGACTTCAGGGTTACACAGTTTCATTTGCACTTGAGTCATTCTGCTTATAATTATCTGATTGAATGTTTAGTTTAAGATTTTCAAGTCCATTATTGTCCAGCTTACCCTTCAACCACAGCCACAATTTCAAAGCCTCTGCTTTTATTAATCTATTAACTGTATTATTTATACTTCTTAAACCAGTTTTTGAACTTTTTTGTTTTTTTTGCGCCCCCGTAAAGCCAAACTTGCATAAACCTCCCACCTCACTAATGATTCTCTGCAAGATTTACATGGTGTCGTGACCTCCATAGATAAAACAGTTGCATTACGTAATATACCAACTATTGCTCTCATTTGGCCTAAATTTTCGACCAAGTTCATTATAGGCTGATTTACTTTACTTAATCCTAGTCAGGGCTTCCATTATTGCCTGCCTAATCACCTTTTTAAGTGGAGAATAGCATGTCCAAATATTGCTTAACAAAACCCATTATTGGGACAAAGTGCATGCTTTGCGTTGCTAGATTAACATAAACCCTTTTTAGATCAATTGCTTTGCTTAATTACTCCATGGCTTGTTAGGGTTGTTTGGTTGGGAGGCACTTCTAACTAAAGTAAAGAAACTCTCCTTTTATTGGTTTTTCTAGACTCGTTGTTTTATGTCCAAATGGAATTCCAATCAAGTACACGCAATGTTGAAACCTACACATCAGAGTCTTTGGAAGTGAAACATCTCTGAATATGACTTTCACCTTCACCTCACTTTCTTTTCGGTGTTTAATACGAAATATCTTTTGAATGGTTAGACTATAAAGAAAAAGGTGAACCCTAGCTTTCCTCTACATCATAATCCATGGTGCTTTTCTGGACATTTCTTTTGGTTTCTCACATCATCATTTATTTGGTTTCTCACATCATCACATGCCATTTCAGTTTGTATACACACCTACACATGGGTTTCTTGTTCTTGAATGTTTTTGCTTCACATGTTATAGTTATGCAATTTATTTGAAGCATCATGCATGATATCTAAGGAGAGAAGGATCAAACTTGGGTAGACACATGCACACTGTCTTGATCCAACTTCTCTAATCCGCGTTTTCTTATCCCTTATTTTTTTTAGTTCTCATATTTTGGTTGAGGATCAATGGTTGGATTGAATTAATTTTTTGTTGGATGGTTTAATTGAACTTTAAACAGAATTATTAGGCTGGTGTCACTTCTTTTGGATCTGTCCTTCCTCCCCACGAAACTGAAAGCACAAAAAAAAAATTCGATGCGTTGAGAGAAATAGACTAGAAAGTAGACCATAAAACGCCAACGCGATGGTGAATGAATCGAGGAAGCACTAAAGCAAAGCATGGCACCTTTTTTTGATTAGTTGTTTTGGTTTTAGTGCGCGCCTTACCTGATTACCATTTGGCTACCATTTTCATTCCCTAATATGCTTAGATTTGCGATATTTGTTTGATATTTCCTCTCATTTGTTGGAATATCAACCACCTCCATCTTACATTTACCCATCCATTTACCCCAATCCAAGGCTCATGTGGGGACTATGATGACTAACAGATACTAAATATAAAAAAAGATATTTTGAGTTCAATTTCTTTTTGAGAGAGGCATTTTTGTTTACTCTATGTTGTCAAATTAGGATATCAACATATTTACCAATCAATTAAATTCTTATAATCTAGACTAATTCTAAAATATCTTACCTCTCCACGTATGAAAAGTGTTAAGAATTCACAACTCTTTTTAGGACACGTAAATTCTCAATATCGATATGTACAACTTAAAATTAACAATTTGACAACATAGCGTATGGTAAATTAAATGCACTCTATACAAATATATCTTGAATTTGATCCATTTGAGCTTGAAACAATTGTTGACATGATGTGCGTTGCAATGTGATTAAAGAAGGAAAAGCACATACCCCATATTTTTGCAAAAACAATAACATAATTTGAAGATGGAAGACGAGTCATAATTGGAATGTGCAGCATTACACCGGATAGATTCATCCGACCAAATTAACAATACAGACAGGGTCATTTACTTATTTTAAGCTTTTCAACCCTTTTTCCTTTTCACCACCATTTTCCTTTTTACCACTATAGGACCCGTCTCCCGTGGGATATTAGTTGTTAAATTTTAAACGCGATTACGAAACTAATTAAGCTAATTAACAACAAACCAACACGTCCAGCTATATTAACCCCTCTCCGCCTTCCCCTCTATTAGCTCCACTACACTTTCTCTCTCTCTCTCTCTCTCTCTTTCTCTCTCTAACCTTCCCATATTTTCTCAGTCTCACAACCAAAACTCCTGCATTTTCGGAATCTTCAGAAACCAACACACAGAGAGGCAGCCAAAAAAATATGCAGGGATTAATAGGGAGAAGGGTATTATCGGGAACAGCACAATCCCTGCTAAGGCAGCGCTGCTTCTCTCAGGTGGCCCAAAGCGAAGTTCTCCAAGGCAATGGCGTCGCTACTCCGAAAATGCCCCCCTTCGATTACACCCCTCCTCCCTACACCGGCCCCACCGCCGACGAGATCTTGGCCCAGCGCAAGGAGTATCTCAGCCCTGCGATGTTCTACTTCTACAACAAACCAGTAACCCCTCGCGCACCCGATTCCACCTCCTCTTCCTTCAATTTCATCACATGTTTCACGTCCTTAATGTCTTTTTTTGGTATTTGCAGCTAAACATAGTGGACGGGAAGAGGCAGTACTTGTTCGACGAAAGCGGGCGGAGGTATTTGGACGGTTTCGGAGGGATTGCTACGGTGAGCTGCGGGCACTGCCACCCCGATGTGGTGGAGGCCATAGTCAATCAAACCAAGCGCATCCAACACTCCACCATCCTCTACCTCAACCACGCCATCGGCGATTTCGCTCAGGCGCTCGCCTCCAAGTTGCCTGCCAATCTCAAGGTCCCTACGCAACTCATTATTTAATCAATCATAATCGATTGACGATCAGACGGTCCGCATTTTTTTGTTTCTGAATTAAGTAATAATAGCTTAGCAACTTTATGAAGAATTGTCATTTTCAGTGACGAGTGATGCTATCTTTTGTTATTATGCGTCGAGAGATCATCACGAAATTTTTTTCTTTTTTTGTTCTACAATTATTAATTTATTTATGGGTAGGTGGTGTTTTTTACAAACTCGGGGACGGAAGCGAACGAGTTGGCGATGTTGATAGCGAGGTTGTACACGGGGAGCCATGACATCATCTCGTTGAGAAACGCTTACCATGGCAACGCAGCTGGCACCATGGGGGCCACCGCTCAGGGCAACTGGAAATTCAATGTCATCCAGGTCATTTTCTTATATATATATATCCTCTTTTCTACTATTTCACTCTCACTATTTTTCTTTAATTAAAGAAAGAAATTTATTTATTTATAAAATAAGTTTTAACTAGCTGAAACCTTAAGTTACTAGAGTTTATCTATTTTTATAAAAATACGATAGAATTTTATTAGATTAATAAGAAAAAAAAATTACAAAAGACAGATGTCATCCCAAAAACAATATAGCAACCATGGTAAAACTTCCCCATTCATATATGATTTAACTTGGTCAATTGTATTAACTGATTATATCACCATTAGTGATGCTAATTGAAGAGAGGTTAAAGTTTGTGACAACTTAATTTAGTAGCTCCATTCAATGAATCTACACATGGTGTTGTGGAATACAGCTAGTAAGAGGAAATTAAGTTTTCTAGGAACTTGCTTGAAAATAATAATAATAATAATAATAATGTATTTTCATTGATGATGTGGTATAAGGTAAAGGGCCCCATGATATGATAGGATACAAATGGGCAGCACCTAACGTCAGCCCAATTGGATACTTCAATCGTATCCAAATTGAACCCACTACTATATAAATTAATAGGACTAAACGATAAGGATGTCCAAATCAATGCTTTATGAAAATAAAATATTTTTCTCTATTATTATTATTATTATTTTCTTTTGGGATGGGGCATGGGTCATTTGGTGTCAATTTCTATACTGAGAAAAGAGGGGACGGCTATATTAATTCATGCCTCAATGAACGCATTTCCCATAAGCAAATCGTTTTTCAACTACATACTTGTGAATGAAAAACGTGACACATAACCCAAATATCTTTATTTTACTCAAATTGTATCTATTTAATATAATGTTAAATAAATAAAACGTGACTCTATTATTGGGTTTTGTATTGACACCAAAATAATTTATTAGGATGTCCAAAGAGAAACCAAAACTCAATAATTTGTTAGATTAAGTGAGAGAAGGAGACATACGCAAGGTTAGTGTGCATTCTTAAAAGCTCTTTTGCTTCTCCAACAAAGATATCAGATGCTTTTTTTTAAGACCTCAAGTTAAGTGAAGTTCTATTTCTGAGACGTGCAATGAGGAGGAGTAGAACTTGTTCCTAACCCACTGCATTTCATTTGTCCAATTCTAATTCCATGAATGACAAGTAAAGAGGTGCATATCATTTATAACTAGAAATGAATTTTCACAGAGATTCTTAATTCATAAAAAGAAAATACCTTATGCACGTATTACTTAACTGCTAATAAATTGATAAGCTTTACTTGCACCAAATATCTCAATGAATGGAGGACTTGCTGTATTTTTCTCTTGCAATTGTATGGAGTTTGCTAACATTCAAATTATGTTGGTTTGACCAACAGAGTGGAGTTCATCATGCTGTAAACCCGGACCCATACAGAGGAGTTTTTGGTGCAGATGGAGAGAAGTATGCCAATGATGTTCAAGATCTCATAGACTTTGGAACCTCAGGCCATGTTGCTGGTTTTATGTGTGAAGCCATACAGGTATGTTATCTGCTTCCTACTCAAAGTATCACAAACCTTTTTATTGCTACGTGATGCTCTCCTTCTATACCCTTCTTAACTTCTTATTTGTGGAACAGGGAGTAGGTGGAATTGTAGAATTGGCTCAAGGTTACTTGCCAGCCGTTTATAATAGTGTGAAGAAAGCAGGAGGCCTTTTCATTGCTGATGAGGTCCAGTGTGGTTTTGCTCGCACAGGAAGCAACTTCTGGGGATTCGAGGGCCATGGTGTTGTGCCTGACATTGTAACAATGGCCAAGGTTAACCAAAGACCAACTTAATCTCTTCATTCTTTTCTTCCACCCCAAGCAATATAATATCTTGCCTATGCTTATTTGATCTGTATGGTATCAGAAGCCCGTTTTTCTTTGTTTCACTTGTTCTTTCTCTGGCTTCTGCAGGGCATTGGAAATGGCATTCCTCTTGGTGCTGTTGTAACCACTCCTGAGGTTGCAGAGGTCCTGACTCGCCGCAATTACTTCAACACCTTCGGTGGGAATCCAGTATGTACAGCCGCAGGACTTGCTGTTCTAAAAGTGATTGAGAAAGAAAAGCTTCAGGATAATGCATTCGTCGTGGGATCATATCTGAAAGAAAGACTCAATGCCCTCAAGGATAAATATGAACGTAAACTCTCTTACTACTGCTTTTCTGTTTATGCATTAAGCAATATTTGGCTCTAGAGTTAGAATATCTATCACAAATTATCTTTATCTCAACCTCTGGTGATCGTTGCTTACCCAGTTATTGGGGATGTGAGGGGAAGGGGATTAATGCTTGGAGTTGAACTAGTCACTGATCGTGAGCTGAAGACACCTGCAAAGGCTGAAACTGTACATGTAATGGACAAGATGAAAGGTGTGTTACTTTGTGTTAACTTCTTAATCCCCCCTCTCTGTGCTTTAATGTTATATGATCTACTAATTCATCTTTACTTTATTTTTGCTTTTATTATTAGATTTGGGAGTGTTGATCGGCAAAGGCGGCTTCTATGGAAATGTTTTCAGAATCACACCTCCCCTGTGCTTCACCAAGGATGATGCAGGTATATAGCTCTTTTTCAACCAGCTTTCTTCTTTTTTTCCCTTCCAGTTCTAGTACCAATTGGGTTGCGTTTTTCATTTTTTGCTGCAGATTTTCTTGTGGATGCAATGGACTACACAATGTCTAAGATTTGAAGCCTCAAGTCTCATTGTACATAAGGTGTCTAATTATCGTTCACAAATTGGTCTAAGCACCGTTGTACTGTTATCTTCTGAAAAAAAAATATCAATATATATAGGTTTGTGCTTCAATAATTCACTGTGATCCTGAAAAACGAAGAGTCAACAACTCGTTGTCTCTCACTCAGCAGATACGCTTGCTATGTTTACTTCTTATGATCTTATAAATATTTTATGGGTGTCTCTCTCCGTTTAAATATCATGCATATGTTACAATTTTAGCTTATGTAAATTGCGTCACCAATTTTAGAAGTTTTGAGATTTTTATTTACTATCAAATTAAAATGTTTAAATTTTAAAAACAAAAAACAAAAAAATTATTAAAAAAACTTGTGATTGAAACTTCAACTCTGATGCAAGCTTTGCACATTCAGGTTTCCAAAATGAATAATGCTAGTGAATGACTCTCTTTAGAGATGTGGTCAAGAGAATAGTATTTTCAAATCCAATTTCAGTTATGCAAATACAAGCTTAGATAACTATGTTGATATTGAAATTAAAGACAAAATCCTGACCCTTTCCGTCGGCCAAGGGGCAACCGTGGTGCATCAGCGCCAAAGTTTCGGGTAGAGCATAACTTTGCTGTTAATCATTATCAGAAGAAGAAGAAACAAAACTGATGTGAACTTGGGACTAAAATATGTTCATCTTCCCGCTGTACTTGAAAATGAAAAGGAAACTCCAAAAACCAATTAGAAGGCCGGCTCTCCAAGGGAACCATTGAAATCAACAACCAAAGCGTTGACATCATATTTTATTTTGGATATGTGATCCCTTATGATCTTTATCCATAGCTGACCATAAAGTGGTGCAATTACTACTTTGCCTTGTATATAACGGTAGGTTTTTTCCTAATGTTTCCGTTGCAAACAAGGAGCAAGTAGCTGACTATGGTATGCTATAAAAGTCCATTGCCGTAAGTTTGTTCAATTCCTGTTTTGTACAACCATGGCATGCACTTCACTATCAATTCCTATCTCTCCGGCTAACTCAACCAAAAGAATAAACCTCATCTTCAAAGACCACATTCGTATCCGCAGGTCTTGTTCAGATCATAACCATCTTTGTTCTTGCACTAATTGTATTCGTGCCGCATCAACACAACCAAACAACAGCCGTTCCATAGGAATTTTCCCTTTTAAAATTTCAAGTTCCATTGTCCCAAATTGTCTTGGCTCATTTTTGTTTGGTCCGTATAAGCCTATTGACATAGTGGAAAAGAACATGAACATGAATATGGTGGAGAAGTCTGGTAATGACGGAGAGGAGATAAAGAGAGTTAATTGGATGGAGAGGCTTGTGGAACTCAGAAGTAACTGGAGTAATATATGGCAGCAAAAACAGGTTGAGGATGAGGAGGAAGACAACAATAATGGAGAGGAGGGTTGTTGTGCAGAGGGTTGTACTTTAAAAGAAAAGAATGGAGAAATGGGATACAAATCATATGATCCTAAATCTTTCTCAAGATTTTTGGTTAGAGTTCCATGGTCTGAAACTAAGCTATTTTCTAAACTAGCTTTCTTGTGCAACATGTCTTATGTGATACCAGAGATCAAGGTATGTTTGACTGTTTTTAGCATATATAGATTTACAGTTATAGTTTATAGCCAGACAAAAGCTTAGGCATTTGTAGCATGAGCAGTAAATTCACACTACAATGCGCAGGGCGAGGTTTTGAAGAGATACTATGACCTACAATTTGTAACATCTTCATTCGAAAAGAAAGCCGAGGCAGCTGCTTACATGGAAGCTTCAACAATGACAGTAGTGGCTGCAGCAGCAAGCGAAAGTGAAAAACATGAGACGGTGAAGGACTTTCGAGCAGGCCAGCATTCCTCACCATGTGAATGGTTTGTTTGTGATGACTCTAGTACTTTTACTCGCTGCTTTGTGGTTCAGGTAACTTCTAATAAGTCATTAACTGATCTGCCTTTGTAGAATTCACATGGCACGTTAATCTTGTTGTTTTTCACCCAAGAAGATATTTGTGCAATTCTTGACTTGCAGGGACTAGACTCCCATGCATCTTGGCTGGCATACCTCTTATTCGAACCAACCAAATTTGAGGTAAAGCATAGAGATTAGTGTTATTAGATTCATAACCCTTGTTTTGGAAGGGAAGAAAATAAGAAATTAGCCATGGATAATCTAGGCCTAGCTAATAACATCCTTGTGTAGGGGACAAATGTACTTGTTCACAGAGGAATCTATGAAGCAGCAGAGGCAATGTACGAGCAATTCATGCCAGAAATATTAGACCACTTAGAAAGAAATGGTGAGCAAGCGAAGTTACAATTTACTGGCCATTGCATTGGAGGAAGCATTGCTCTTCTAGTCCACCTGATGCTTCTCATTAGGAACCTTGTCAAACCCTCGACTCTTCGGCCAGTTGTCACATTTGGCTCGCCATTTGTGTTCTTCAGAGGGCACAAAGTACTTGAGCAGCTGAGTTTGGATGAGAGTGATCACATCCATTGTGTGATAATGCATAGAGATATTGTCCCTAGAGCCTTCTCCTCCAACTACAATAACCAAGTGCTTACACTCCTCAGGTGTTTACATGGTTCATTTCAAACACACCCTTGTCTAATTAGAAGTGTAAGTACCATCCCTAAAATTCATAACATTTTCCGAAAAAAGACACTTATATTGGTTAATTTGGATTTAAAACATGAGCTGTCACTTCTTCTAATGTCTTTTTTTCTTGTGCAGAAAACGTTGTACTCGCCAATGGGCAATCTATTCATTCTCCAACCTGATGAAAAGTCATCTCCTCCACACCCTCTGCTCCCTCCGGGGAGTGCCCTCTATGTTTTGGACAAAACACAGTGTGGGTGCTCTTCAGGTGTCTTGAGGGCCTTCTTGAATTCCCCACATCCACTAGAAACCATTAGTGACCCTGCAGCTTATGGTTCAGAAGGTACAATCTTACGGGACCATGACTCTTGCAACTATCTAAAGGCTATGAATATGGTTCTAAGGCAACACACTAGGATGGTTGTGAGGAAAGTGAGGAAGCAGAGGAATCTCTTGTGGCCGATGTTTACTTCACCATCTCCACACTCATGGAATGGTGAAGATGAAAGTGACCTGTAGAGAACCAAATTGGTAACACGGGAATGGTGAACTTAATTGTTTTTTTTTCTTTCGATTTCTGACGTATAAATGTAGAGGATGTTCTTAAGAAATTTATGACTCGCTCATTCTCTTCGTGTTCAACAACCACCAAATCCAGTTCATGAGATATTATTAATATAGATTCTAATCTATTCACATTAGTTATTGATTAAATTTACAATCATTCAACCAATAAAATCGTTACAATAAGATTCAATCTTGATATAGCTAGCAATATTAAAATGATATCATTGTTAAAAAGGTAATGCCAATTTGTTCAATCTCTACATAATTCTAGAATACTTTGGGAAAAACCAATTAGCCGATACCAAACAAAATAATGGGTTAAAATTTGTCACAAATTTGTTAAAATTTCAAGTTCCATTGTCCCAAATTGTCTTGGCTCCTCCAACCTAATAAAATTACTTGATTTAAATAATTGTCCATGCATTTCCTAAACCCGCAACCAAAAACTACCAATCATGTGGCTCCATCCTTGGAAATTGAAGTTTCTTGGAAAACAAACAACTCTTTATGGTGGGTTCAGCTCCCCCATAGAAGCTCAAACTTTATGGTGTGTTCAAATACAGATGTTATCGCATGTTCAAGATGTTTATAACAACCAATACTTGAACCTCCGCAAGAATCAATAGGAGAATTATCATTTAAAAGAAAATGTATTACAATAATCAATTGAACTTCAAAATAACTTTAATTGACTCTAATATCTTATAGTAGTTGGTCAGAACAAATGAATATACATGCTTAGATATTGAGCGTATCACTTGTCCCAAATAAGCATAATTTAAACATGTGTGAAGTAATTTTGCATTCTATAGTTATAGCATGAGAAGTAAATTCCCACTACAATGCATAGGGCGAGATTTTGAAGAGATGCAATGACCTACAATTTGTAACATCTTCATTTGAAAAGAAAGCAGAAGCAGTAGCTTACATGGAAGCTTCTACAATGACAATAGCGGTTGCAGCAGCAAGCAAAAGTGAAAAACATGAGACGGCGAAGGGCCTTCAGTCAGGCCAGCATTCCTCACCGTGTGAATGGTTTATTTGTGATGACTATAGTACTTTTCCTCGTTGCTTTGTGGTTCAGGTAATTTATAATGAGTCATTAACTAGTCTGCCTTTGTATAGCAGAGTTCACATGGCACATTACCCTTTCTGTTTTCATCTAGGAAGATAATTGTGCAAAGGGAATGGTGAATGGATGACATGCAAATTGATTGTTCTTGACTTGAAGGGACTAGACTCCCATCCATCTTGGCAGGCTTACCTCTTATTCGAACCAACCAAATTTGAGGTAAAGCATAGAGAATAGTCTTATTAGATACATAACCCTTGTTTTGAGAGGGAAGAAAATAAGAAATTAGGCACGGATAAATTATGCCTAGCTAATAATATCCTTGTGTAGGGGACAAATGTACTTGTCCACAGAGGAATCTTTGAAGCGGCAAAGGGAATATACCAGCAATTCATGCCAGAAATATTAGACCGCTTGAAAAGAAATGGGGAGCAAGCGAAGTTTCAATTTACAGGCCATTGCATTGGAGGAAGCATTGCTCTTCTAGTCCACTTGATGCTACTAACTAGAAAACTTGTCAAGCCCTCCACTCTTCGGCCAGTTGTCACGTTCAGCTCACCATTTGTGTTCTGCAAAGGGCACAAAATACTTGAGCAGCTGAGTTTGGGTGAGAGTGATCACATCCATTGTGTGATGATGCATAGAGATATTTTCCCTAGAGCCTTCTCCTCCAACTACAATAACCAAGTGATTACACTCCTAAGGCGTTTAAGTGGTTCATTTCAAACACACCCTTGTCTAATTAAAAGTGTAAGTATCTATGATAAATTCATAGAAGCTCCAGAAAACTTATATTAATTTAGATTTAAAGACATGAGCTCTCACTTCTTCTAATGTCTTTTTTTCTTGTGCAGAAAATGCTCTACTCCCAATGGGCAATCTATTCATTCTCCACCCTATGAAATGTTTTGGACAAAACACAATTTGGGTTCCCTTCAGGTGTCTTGAGGGCCTTCTTGAATTCCCCACATCCACTAGAAACCATTAGTGACCCTGCAGCTTATGGTTCAGAAGGTACAGTCTTACATGGCCATGACTCTTGCAACTATCTAAAGACTATGAATGTGGTTCTAAGGGCAACATACAAGGATGATTGTGAGGAAAGTGAGGAATCTCTTGTTGCCAATGCTTACTTCACCATCTCCACACTCATGGAATGGTGAAGATGAAAGAGAACCAAATTAGTAACACAAGATGATACCGATATGGGGATGTTCTTAAGACATTTATAACTTGCTCGTTCTCTCCCATATTATACCATAACAAAGCATAAAACAACCACCAAATGCGGTTCATAAGATGATTACTAATAAAGATTAAAATTTATTTGCATAGTTATTGATTAAATTTACAATCATTTTAGGTACAATAAGATTCAAACTTAATGAATGAAAATTACTACTATTCGAATGACTTAGATAATATGTGGAATATACGCACTTGATTTCAATGCTGATAAGAGTTTAGGTCATTACGATATTCTAATGTGGGGACGAAGCATTGAAGCTCAAACTCTAGTGTGGTGGAACAACGTAGAACTCAAACACTCGGTTCAATACCTCCACAACAATCAATACAAGAATTATCATTTTTTTAAAATGTATTACAATAACCAATTGAGCTTTAAAATAACTTTAATTCACTCCAATATCTTATAATAGTTGGTCTAAACAAATGAATACATATTGGCCTCTACCAGAAATGATAAAACATGTGAAGTGATTTTGCATTCTGCAAGTATATATAATGCTGTTTGATTAGAGCCATGTCAGTTGCAATAGTTTCGAATTTAAACAGAAAATGTGATTGAATAATGTGATTGTACTAAACGCTTAACTTCTGCTGAAATATCTAATTCATGAATCATGACTGATACATGACATAAATACAAAATTGTAGCATGTAACCTATGCGCATTGTCAAAATTCCAATTGAAAATTTGAATCAAACTAGTAGATCCCAAATCTTTAATATATTCTTAATTCACTCAACAAAAAATATGAAAACTTTTTTACATTTACCACTCTGATTTCTCCAAACGAGCAGTACCAGTACATGAAACTTTTTTACTTGGGTTTCATCAAGGAGCTAGCATGCATGTTGATTTTCTAAAAGTTCATGAATCAGTAAATATGGAAACAAAAATTAATGCATGCAATGCAATCCAACCCAAATAAATATTAATATTTCAGCTGTGTGCCAAAAACAAACTGATAATAATAACATTTGAATCTAAAACTTCAAAATAAACAAAGCTCACAGCTCCAACACCAAAATGGAAAATATTGATCCACTTACAGTTGAAAAACTCACGAATTAAAATTTTGAAGAGAATTGTAGCTACCGATCGGGTCGAGCTAACATAGAAGACATGGGAGAGGTCCTGCCTGCAGAATTAGAAACCCTTGTACTTCTGTGGAAAAAAAAACCAGAAACTTGGACGGTGGATGTTACAACAGAAACGAAGTCTATTAACAAAACCCCGAATTCCTCGTACACGTAAATGCTCTTTCTCAAAAATATTACGGCCATCGCTGTCGACATGACATCCTTAAATCTAGCCATTCTCTTTTGCTTGCTCAGCTACTGCTCTCTCTGATGGTCCTAAACTTAGATTTGATTTGAATGTTCATGTTACATCAAACACTGGTTATGTTGGAGGACCAGATTAATAATATAGCATAATATATGCCCAAAAAAAGTCAAATTACTGATGTACCCTTTTGTTTTACCACCTAATTCAAAAAAAATTATATATATATAGATATTCATCATACTTGAATTTGGGTCCAAGGGGGCGAACTCATTATCCTAGCTGAGTAGCCTAACCCATATCTGGTTTAGATATATTACTTGATATTCACTTAAGACGTCTCAAATGACCAGCGTTTTCTGAAGAGCTTCTTGTTTGCATGAGGCAAATAATACCTACAAACTTCAAACTGTTTTTTCTTTCCATATTTTGTAGAAAATGTTGAGGCTAATATAGTAATTGCACGAGTCCTTGTCAGAGAAACAATCCTTCAAACAAAGATGAGGACATTGTGGACTCATTCTGCGGCAGATGTAGCTTATGCATCACTGTCCGTGCTGAAAGTTCAAAAGCCTTCCTTGAAAAATGTCGACACCCATTGCTATGATTTATTTCACTTTGACAATTCAACAACTTTTTTCTTTACACCACCAAACCAAACCAAACTTCTTGTAATTTTGTCAACTTCATTTTGTTTTCTCTCAAACCTCATGTACTCTTTCATCTTGGATGATCAAAGGTTATTTTACCAATTTCGAAATAGCAAATGGATTTTATTAATTATTATTGTTTATTTATTTTGTATTGATGATTGCTACCTATATATTGAACGGAAGTTCATATTTAATAAATCAATAATCTGCATAAGATGAATAGAACAGCTACATAGGTGATGCAAAACTTGAGGCCCTGCTATGGGCAACGTTGATATACCACCAAAGAAAGAAAGATTAAACCAGATTTACATTAACAAAGTAAAACGAATTTCATCCAGCTCTGCCATTGAGTGTGGAAATGTTACTGCTCACATGCCTTGCAAGAGTCACAAGTGAACTTTCTCTTCAAAACTTGACCATGGAGTGTGGAAATGTTACTGCTCACATGCCTTGAAAGCAAAAAGTTCAATAAGTGAATGTAGTGGCTGTTATTTGCCCTCTGCGGCCATCCTTTTGCGTATCTCATGAGCTGTATTGAATATGCCAAGGGTAGGCTTCTCGCACACAAAGCACTTCTTGTTCTTTGAATGATGCTGTGAATGAAAAACGCAGATTGACGTTAGAATATGCTTGAAAGAAACCCAAAATGGAAACAAAAAGACTCGATTATACTTGATTTGCAAGTCTAAAATGACAATTGAATTCCAAAGAGTTATTGCAACCACAGGAGTTAAGATGATGATACATTAAGAAAGAGAACTCACCTTCAGTGCACAGTGCTCGCAGAAGTAGTGGTTGCATTTAGTCACAACAGGATCAACAAATGGTTGCCGGCATATGAAACAAGCAAACGGCAACGAGCCATCCTCATCATCCTCATCATCCTCATCATCTTCCTCAGTCTGTTCTACATCATCCTCACCCAAAGCTAAATTTCTCTTCCTTATTTTCTCTGCTTCGTCCCACTCCCTTTCCATCTGCCACCCAGACTTGTAGTCTCCACGATCATGCATAAACTTGCAGGAATCTCCATACCCACAGTAACCAGTCTCTTTGTAATCCTTACAGATGTCTGGCTGGTAATCAAATCTTGTGGTAGCTCTGATGTGAGCAGAAGCCCTGAGAGGCCCATGGGAACCTCCCGCTTTCTCACTGGCCACTGTTAGCTCTCTTCGGAACCCAGCCTTGTAATCAGTATATCCATGGATCCCTTTATACAACTTGTCGTTCCCAGTGCCTTTGCTCTTCCCCTTCAAAGCCTCCTCTGACTGCTTAAGAACTCTCTCACGAACTGCTCGGGCATCTCTAGAGAAGTCAGTCTCAGTCTCCAAAGTCGCAGTTGCTCTACTATCATGTTCAACTTGGATTTCTTTTGAAGACTTGAACTCAAAGATTGCACTACTATCAGGCGTAGAGCTCTTAGCAGGTCCACTAGAAAAATACAGCTTGCCATCAAGCTTTGAGGCTTTTCTTTGACTTGGTAATGATGTGCCCCCAGATTTTGAGTCGTCGTCCTCCTCATCTTCATCAACCCTTCGCTTTCTAATGTTTTGCTTCTTTAATGGCTTCCGGAAGAAGTTGCAAACTAGAAATGCAAAAGAACAATGTTACAAACTTACAGTGTATACAATGGAAACAGATAAAAATAATCCAAACAGTACTAAACATACCTTCTCCAGGTTCTGCATTTCCACCCGAATCCGCCATATAGACACAAGCAACCAAAGCAAGGGGGCGGTTCAATCCCTGTTACTTGGGCTATTGCAGCTGAGTCGCCGAATTAGGGTTTTGAGGGGTAATTCTTCCTTTTTTATGGCCGCTGCTGACAAAAAAAAAATCACTTCATAATTTAACCAAAAAACTCAAAAAAACAGAGAAACCATCATTCATTCTTACATGGATTTAAACAAGAATGTCATAAAATGCAGTGAAACTCAACCAACTTAAAATTTATCCGAAAAAGGAGAAAATATACGTATAAATTCCATTATATTCTGTGGTCTATCAGTACTCTAAAATAAAATTTGTGTTTGTCTCCCAAGCAATCTATGAAATGACAGAGAAACTCAGCACCAAAAGTTGATGATTTGGTGCAACCCTAATAATGGAGAGAGAGAGAGAACTAATTTGGTGAATTTCAGCACCAAATTGTAATGTCTTATTCACCCGCTATCATTTGTATTAAATCAATTGCCACTCTTTTGTTTGTGAAGAAAGAACTGATCCAATCATGAAAATAGTTTAATGACATATAACATGAATGTATTTATTTCAGGGCTGCAGCCATATATGTTCAGAGGAAGGTTAACCTCATTTGATTAAGCAAGGAAAATGGTTTAACTATAACCTAAAACCACACACTAATTCCATGTCCTTCAATACCACACGACTCATTTCATTTCAAAAGAACAAAAACGTAAACAAACTACCAATTAATAAAGTTTAACATGCTCAGACAGAAAAGAATTCCACAACCAATACACCTAAAAACAGAAACTAATTTCACTAATCTAATAAAGATCAATTTTTTAAAAAGAAATATACCTAGCAGATGCAGAAGAAGCTCAACCTGGTGCTGCGAAAGCTCTTGGGTCAGACGCAGTCGAGAACAAAGTTAGGGTTTGGTCGAGAACAAAGTTTCGGCGGCAGCACAAGGAAGAAGGATACGGAAGAAGAAGAAGAATAACCTAACTTTGTTCTCGACTGCATCTGTCCCAAGAGCTTTCGCAGCCCCAGGTTGAGCTTCATCTGCATCTGCTACAGGAGGAATATTCGAGGAACAGCTGGGCCGGAGGGAGCAGACTGAATAAAATTTGAAGAAGGGTATAGAAGAGTTAAGGGTTGAGGACTGTTCGTTTCGGTGGGTTTGGAAATACCTTTTCACCGGCCCTCTGCAATTCTGTTGAGTGTTGGCGGGGTGACTGGATGTTCCAATTCCTAGTCGGAGGAGACGAAGAAGAACTGAAGAAGGGAATGGGATCTGGAGACTGGGTCGAGTCGGGTTACAATTAATGGGCGGCAGTATAAGACCATATGACCGAATACAAGGCTAGGCCTGACGGATAGTGTGGCCCACTTGCTTGCCATTGAACCCAAATTTTTGTATTGTAAATTTTTATTTTTTTTTATAAATGAAAAAGTCAGGCCTTTTAATTTGGCCCAACAAATTGCATGCACACGAGAGCCCGGGAGTTGTGTTTTATTATTTATTTTTTCTACTTGTTATATTTGCTATTAATAATTACTTCTGATGCATTATTATGCAAAGAACGGGTTCAAATCAAATGATGTCAATAGTCAATGAAACCAACACCATAATCTGCTTTGTTGCCACATATAGGTCGACAGACTGCTTTGTTATAGGCAATCATTCCAGTTTTTCGCCTCAAACGGCTCCAAGAAAATCCTTCAACATGGTGATGTGTGATAATGTCACCATTGATGTGCACAAATGCGCAAAAAATTGATAGTACACTAAGCACTTTTCTGTGTCAAAATTTCTAACATGAGATTTGAACTTGGGACTTCCTCGACGCTTCACCAATATAATCAGATCAATTGGTGTTGGTCAGAAAATTAAGCAAACCTATAATTGTTGGCATTTAGCACCAATGACATCTCAACTCTCACTTTGTTAATTAGTCAAAATACACTACGAAATGAAGGACACAACAGCAGGCATTGGGCTAGTGCAATATGACTCATAGGCATCTTCTTTTTTTTCTTTTTAAATGTTCCAAAAACATGTGAAGCACTGCACGAGTTAAAAAATTTGTAATCTTTTTTCTTTTCATCCACTTTATAAATTATCACACTCGGAGTTGGTTTTATGCATGAACCCCACAATGTAGGGACTGCAGAATGAGACTCCAATGGTTGGGAATGTATTTTTATTTTTTTAACATATACGAGCTAGCTGGGCCAAGTTTCTCTTTCTTTCGGTTTGTGATGCACAAAAAGCAATGGAGAAAAAGCTGGGCATGGAAAAGGTGATGGCAAAGTTTATTATAAATGTTGTGTGTACAAAATTGCAAAAGACTTGTATTGTAGGTCAACCTTTCTCCTTTCTTTCTTTGTATGGAGAGAGAGAGAGAGAGAACGAGAAGGAGGGCACTTATCTATGTCTACTTCGGCTTGATTCTTGTAGACCCCATTGCCTTTTTATTCGAATTAATACCTCTTAGTGGTTTATTAATGGATGGCTCTCTCAGCTTACATGCAGCAAAACGACCTCGCTGCATTGCAATCCAGGAGAGCTATGACCCCGCGTACATCTAAACCCTAGACAGCAATAATATTATTTTTGGCTATTTTTAATTTACATGGATTTTGAGAGTCTTTTTAATTAGAACTTCGATCAGACGTTGTTGCATTTGGTTAACAAAGTCAGTCTTTCTGGGATCACGTCACTTCACATACACACAGCATGAAGACCTTATTTCACCTGGAATTCAGGCCAACTTTTTCCAAATGCAAGCCACGTAACAAGGCACTGTCATGTCAATCAAAATTTTGATGAGATTTTGGGGGAGTGTAGTGAACACCCCAACCTGTTTCACGTGTCGTGCTGGCTATAAAAAAAAAACATCAATCATGGTACACTTGTATTCAGTTTCCAACCAAACGAGTTCAAAAGCTTGGCTTTGGCTGCTGGATATTTGATGGACCCTCTGGATATTGCAAGGCTTAGAAATTAAGACAATTTTCCCTTTTATAGCTCTTTGATGTTGATTGACACGCTCAATGTAACTCTCGTTTAGCTCTATACATATTGATTTGTATCGTTATCGTATCAATGGTCCCTAATAAATCACTTGATCACTCCATAATTGTTGAGATGGAGCCAAAATTATAGGTTGGGCAGCAGGAACATGGGGGGAATTTGGAATCAACCTAAACTCTAACCTCAGTCCACTCATTTCTTCACTTAACCAAAACCTCATATTTTAGCTTACCAAAAAAAAACCTCATATTTTAATCATAATTTCATCACTGATTGAGGCTCAACTTAAGATTCATCAATACTATCTTTACTATTTTAATAACTTAATATTTATTTTTCTGAAAACACTTGTACAACCGTTGATTTGATGGATTCACTTTTATTCTTAAAGGCATATATGTTGAATTTGTTTGGGTCGAACAAGGAAATTCGTCCGAAGGAAGCACTCTTTTTTCTACACATGTACAAATATTCTTTAATCTAGGCTAGATTTTTGCTAAGCAAGCTTTGTACCCGTAAAGATGCAAACCCCTAATATCCTTTTAACCAAAGGACAAAACTACCCTTTCACTTGGCAACAAAACAATCTGATGTTTTTGACTTTAGGTATAATCCCTCTCTGACATTTGCAAAATTAAAATCCTCTGAATGTGATCAACAACAAGTCTTAATCAGAACAAAACATGGAGTTATTATATTATTGTCGTGTCTTGCATATATTTGCAATCAAATCGGAAGAATTTGGCATGTCTTTTAACTCCATTTGCCAGTCCTCTCTGAACATCATCACCCACGAGAGTCCATAGGGTGGACGTTGGATGAGACAGCAAGCAACACGTGGACGACCTGCTTATTGCTTAAGCATGCGTATAAGTATATAATTTTGAAATCAAGTGCTTAATCATTTAGCCTAGCTTTTGTTTGCACAATTGATTGGGGGACAATGAGGTCAGTACACATGCGTCACGGGATATACTTTATGTTAATCACTTCATATATATTAATCTCGAGCTTATCACTACTAGCCTTTTATTCCCATTATAATATTGGAGAATTTTGTCTTATACAAATTTTTGTTTTCTTTATTGGTTTTGGGTTATGATTTATATTAGAAATGCGATTAATGCAAATTTGAACACAATCATAATATAAATACAAAATATACATTGAGATATCAAAAGAAATAATATTTATGACATTCGGCGCTAAATAGTAAATATTCTCAATCATCTTATTGTGTTATGATAAAAACCACCAAATATATGTGAAGTAAGAATATGCTATATGAGTTGGTTTGTGCATGTTACGGGCAATTATGGTAGTGATGAGATTGGAATTAAGTGCTTAAATTGAATGGAAGACAATCAAACATGTGTTTGACGATTAAAACATGAAAATGGGACAGGACACGAGGTTCCTAGGAGGGGTAACATGGTAAACTTGCGACATAGACCAACGTGGCTACAGAAACAAAAATGGACGCTCCCCCACAAGTATATAATTCCTTCTTTGAATGTAAGCAAGCATATTCAATAACACCTCAACATACTCGTGTACAATTTTTTTGCTGAGCTGTCTTATGGCCAAAACGATTTTCATTTAGTCAATCCCTTTATTACTATTTTTATTTCAAGAATTTTTTTGTTTGATTTACATAAACAAAAAATTGGTTTCTTTACTATTTATTGTTGTACAAACCCAATTTTAACCCTTCTTTAAGATATGCCTTTAACAATAAGGACAATATCTTGTCACTTTGTCTCATGTTCATTATGACTAAGAATGAGGTTACCATTAAGGATTCAGACACAAAAAACAAAAGGTTACCATTAAGGTCTTCAATCACAAAAACAACATTAACTATATACATAAGGTTTTATTTTCATAAAAAATAGCCGTGTGCTTATTATTTGTTTATGAATCATCTAAACAAATCATTAAATGGATCGCTAATTAGTGCAAGTGATGGACAATGGGTCTATAGTTCAGTGGTTTCATATTCAAACCTTAATAGCAACTCCCCCTCCCTCTCTCCCTCCCAAATTTTGACAAAAAAATTAGGACAAATGATGATAAGCATCTTTTTTATACAAGTTTTCACAGACATACAACACATGAATATTTAAACTCTTATGATAAATGTGCAGAAAGTTATCACGACAATACTATGAAAATTTAATTATAGTTTAGTATCATGTGGTTATGCCCTTAAGAAATGTTAGTACCTATCTTTTCAATTTTAACAATCACATTTCCCGATCTTTTTAATTTGTTACAATGTGATTCCGCCGTTAGGGTTTCCGTCAAATCTCTTTGTTAGTTGCCTACGTGGCATTGTGAGTCCCACATTTTTAAATTTTAAATTTATTAAAATATTACCCCAAAAAAAAAAAATTTCTATCTCTCTCTCTCTCAAACTCCAACACCCAACCTTCAAACCCATACCACATCCACCCTCAACCACCCAACGCCCCCTTCCCCCATGACCACCACCTTCCAACCCCCAACTTAGCTCTGCAAATTTAGAAACCAACAAATTGGAAAAAAGAAAAAAGAAAAAAGAAAAGAACATTGTTTGCATCTGTGGGTGGGTTTGAGGGTTTGAGGGTTGAAAAACATACTGTGGGAGGAAGGGGGAGAGCTCTGTAGGGTGGTCTCTCAACAATAAAGGGAAATCCGGGGGAGGGGGGGTGGGTTGGGGTTGGTTGTTGGGTTGGGGTTCTAGGTTCGTTGGGGGTTGGAGGACGGTGGTCATGGGGGAAAGGGGCACTAGGTGGTTGCGCTACAGTGGAGGGTGAGAGAAATTGGCTAAATGCTCTCATCTCTTTGCCAAAAAATTGATCACGACACCCACCCCCGTCCTAGTCTCCCTAGCCAAAGACCCCGATCTACCCTATCGCAACCCACCCAAACGCCTTCATCTACCTTATCGCAACCCACGGTCTCTTCCATGACCCAACACACTCCAGCAACAAGCCTCCATAGCCCTAACCACCCTTATCGATCCAAATCGACCAAGCACTACCCATCAATAACCCAAAAAAAAATCACATCAATAAAAAATACCCAGATCTGATCAAGCAACAAGACATTGAAGCAATCATGCAGATGTAGGCAGATGTTGTTTTTCCAATTGGAGGCCCATCCAAATACATGGCAGAGACGAGAGAGAGGTTTGCGGGGGATGAGGGTGAGGGAGATTGGTGTTTGTGGTTGTCGACAAACAGTGGGGAAGAGAGAGGCTTGATTGGGAGAACGCACAGAGAGAGAGAGAGTTTTTTTTCTTTTTTGGTTTTTAATATTTTATTCATATTTTAATCAATTTAAAATTAAAAGATATAAAAAATGTGGGACCCACAGTGCCATGTAGGCAATTAACAGAGAGATCTGACGGAAACCCTAAAAGTGGAACCACATTATAACAAATTTAAAAGACGAGGTGTGTGATTGTTAGAGACTAACATGTCTTAAGATTGTAACTACATGGTACTAAATTATAATTAACTCTTAAAAGAAAATACCACTAAATTGTATGAAGATAGTCCAATTGGATTTGTTCTCTATTTTTATTTCCTTAAAAGGATTTAAAAGTTTGGCTCAAAACAATCAATTACATAGACTGGTTATTGATTTGTACTATGAAAAGTTGAAGCCTCCTTCCTACAAAAACAGTACATGGTACCAATACCCCCGCCCGTTAAGGAAAATACAAAAGGAAGAGTGAGAGAAATATAGTCGTTTTCTTGTTGTTTGTGCAAAAACCCGTAAGAGGTAAAAAAGCGTAGATTTTTGCTTGGCCGGCAGGTTAAAACAACGTAGTTTAAAATAGCAAAAATAAACGACCCGGACCCGGACCCGGAAAAAAACTCAGTGGAGGGTGGGCTGTGAGGGAGATAATCGGAAAGAAAGAAAAACAAAATTTCACGAACAAACGCACACTTGACACACACACACACTCTCTCTCTCTCTCTCTCTCTCTCTCTCCTATTGCGCTATTGAAGAAAGAAATCCATATTTTTGTTGCTGAGTTTTTATTTTTTATTTTTCTCGTTGTGCCGCCACTGTTTTATGCGCCTCCATCATCCTCTTCGTCACCTAGGGTTTCTAGGGTTTTCAGACTCGTTTCTGGGATTTTCTGGGGCTTTCCGAGCTGGATTCTCTTTCTTTCATCAGGCGAATCTCCATGCGCCGCTGGTTCAGCGGCTTCGTTGATTAGCCCCATCACGCCACACTCCCCATCTCGCTCTTCCGCTCCCCAGCTTTCTCGATCCCAATAAAACCTAGGGTGTGACTGCTTCCATTGCTTTTTGGGGCATGGTTTTTCAATTAGGACGAACATTGATTGCTCTTTTGCTTGTGTTCTGAGGGTTTTCGATTTGAATGGCATTGGGGGATTTGATGGCCTCCCGGTTTTCGCAATCCTCCGTGGTCGTGGTCCCAAACCACTTGGATGACTGTGCCTCCAGTCACGAAGACGGCGATTTGAGCTCGCAGAGAAGGGAATCCGAGACTGCTAGTAGTAGTTATGGAAATGCCACGGCCACCACTGCTACAAGCATGGCCTACTTGCCCCAAACCATTGTATTGTGTGAACTTCGACACGACGCCTTCGAGGCTTGCGTGCCAGTAGGTCCATCTGATAGTGGTCTGGTCTCCAAATGGCGGCCTAAAGATCGAGTAAGCTCTTCTTTTCAGTACATGGTCTTCATTTTTCTCATTGTTCCTGTTGAGATTATTGTAGTACCAATAATTGTTAATCTTAAGATCATTGACATGAGATTCCTTATCACAGTTCTATTATTAAGCTAATTTGGTAGGGAATGATGGCTCATTTTCACTTCAATATGTTAGTAGATTACTTATTGCAGAAAATGAAAGCCGTAGTTAAAGCACCATTAATTCACTTTTTTTAATGTAATGAAAAGTAGTTTTTTTTTCTTCTTCTTTCTCATGGATTATCAGCATCAATTTTCTTGAGAGTTTAGAAATTAGGCATTTGGTACTGTGGCTAGGAAGTTTTAACATTCCCTTTCAAATTTTATGTCTTTGAAGTCATAATTCTAGTTTGATTGGCAAGAAACCTTGTCCTTTTCTGATATTTAGGATCAATAGCTCATTAGCAGATAAAATCCAAGTCTTCCACTCCTCCTCGGTAAAGTTAACAGATTACCAGAGTGAATAAGTAATGAGATCCCAAATAAGTGCTGAACTGAACCTTTCTTGGCAACAAGGATTAATCACTCCATAAGCCACCTTGTTCACAATTCAGTTGCCAGTGATATCCTTTCTGAAACTCCACTTATTGTAAGCAAACATTTTCTTTTTCTTGCCTTCTTAAAGGCGAAGGTTGCTTTCAGTTTGTTACGAGGGTTAATTTTTGGTTTATGGCCTTGGTGATCCGTTAAAACCTCCCACAATGATGTGATATTTCTTTTATCGATTAGTTTCAGAAGGGTGTGGGTATATCCTGGGAGAATTTCAATCAACCATTACATGTATCATATGACAAGTAGAATTAGTATAATGGTTGGTGAACTTCGATCTGGGACAAAAGGTTAGTTTCAATACTTGAGACCAAGAAAGGACACAACTTCTGCTATTATTGGGGATTTTCAAAGCATCATTGCTTGAACTGTTACAAATTCTGAAGGCTTCCACTCGTGGAGGGTGGATTTGAGGGAGTTAGGTGCAGTAATGGGGCTGAGTCACAGAGGATGCCTAGGTTCCCAACCTTGCAGTGTAGCCTGTAAGTGAAGTTTCATGGCAGTGCCAATGTTGGTTGGAATATGTTATCTGTTAAAACCCTGTTTTTTGTTTATATTTCTAAAATACTGACACATCTGTGCATTTTCTCAGTCGGCAAGTTGAGACTCGTAAGTAAAATCGTCGTTTCTTGTAACATGGGAAAATTGCCCAACCTCCCCATCCTATAAAGTAGGCCACAACTATAATTCATCTGGCATGGTGTTTAACATATGAGATGAAGCTGATTCAAGAAAAGTGAACTTGTAGAAGTCATGTTCATTGCTTTAATATGAAAAAAGGAAATCCTGATAACATTTAAAACTTTCTGCATTTTTTCAGTTATCAATGGAGTGGTAAAAGTATTTTTCTACAGAAAATTCTGGAGCCATAAATTCACCCTTACTATAGAGTCGTTAATTTCTCCGTGTCTTGGGTTTTTTTTTGTGAGATTGGCAACTTGATGTTCTTTTGTTATGGTTAAACCTGTAGTCATGCAATCATGTTGTAGCGGTAAAGTTTGTCATCTTTGAAGAATTTCACAGATGCATCTTTTGCAATTTGAAATTTTACTGCAGTGGGATTTGGCTTCTTGAATTACACTCTCTCCATTCATTAACTTTCCTATATGTTGCTTAAAAGAAAATCGGGAGTGTGGCGACAGAAGTCTAGCACTGCAAAGTTTTGTTTTATGTTTATGTTATGAACTTTAATCCTTATTCTTCAAATAAATCCTAATTAGAGCCTTTCTCTATGTTAAGCTTAGTTCCTTGTTTAAGTTCTGATTGAAGATTCTCACATTATTGTAGTCATTTCTATGTGATTGCTTTGGTTTAACTTTCAACTTCTTTGCAGATGAAGACGGGATGTGTAGCTCTAGTATTATGTTTAAACATTAGCGTTGATCCGCCCGATGTAATTAAGATATCTCCCTGTGCCCGAATGGAGTGCTGGATAGGTGCTTTTACACTGCTGATTCTTACTGTTGCTTTAGTTTGTTGGTTGTGTATTGGTTATTAATTTTTTTCTTTTACCCTTTGGGTTGGCATATTGAGTTTTTAACTACTAGTTGGATCAGAGGGGGTGACTTCGAGATCCTCTGGTCCATTTCTTAATAACCAAAGCACCTTGGAATTGCTATGGCTAATAATTTACTGTGAGTAAAATTAGAGACTGGTTTAAGTTCTTCACCTAATATGCATGGAGGTTTGAATTGTTTTTGTTAATATTTTATTGTACCTGTAATAATTAAATGAGTAAATGCATGTTGCAATTTGTTTGAGTTAGGTATTTTATCTCATCCACAGGCTCATGCAGTTTAACTAAATCATCTATTGAGAAACTCCGTTTTTAAAAATCTTTCTGAATTGTTTGAGTGTGGTGAAAAAAGGAAATGTGGCTTCATCCTTGATGCATCTGTGCTATGTTAAACCAGTCAGTCTCCCATTTAATCAGATTTGGTTGTTTGCCACCTTTTGTGTTTGGTTCCTTTGTTTCATGGTATTTGATTCTATGTTTTTTATAATTATCTCTAGGACTCCCTTGGAGACTCCTAAGATACTCATCGAGGCTGTTTTCTATTTATGCATGTTGCTGTTATATATATAAATAAATATTTTGCATATTCCTTGCTTGGTTGCCAAGAGGGGTGCTCGAATTTGGGGTCTACACAACCATTACAACTCAAACAAATTCAGATTATCCCTTTCGTTTATCATCCCCTTGGCAACCAAATATAAAAAAATGACAATTGGGATGTTTCTATTTTGTTTCCTTGTTGAATTTACCATTTGATTAATCTTTTCTTCTCTCTTCAGATCCATTTTCTATGGCTCCACAAAAAGCTCTTGAAAAAATTGGTAAAACCTTGAGTGAACAGTATGAGAGGTGGCAACCAAAGGTGAGAAACTTTTTTTTTGGGGGTGCATTCTGTTATTTTATTGTTTCAAATTGATATTTAATGTGGGCTGACAATGTTTTTTCAGGCACGCTACAAGGTTCAGCTTGATCCTACAGTTGAGGAAGTGAAGAAACTTTGTAATACATGTCGCAAATATGCCAAGTCAGAGAGAGTTCTTTTCCATTATAATGGACATGGTGTACCGAAGCCAACTGCTAATGGTGAAATTTGGCTCTTTAATAAGGTTTTTACTAATTTGAAGCCTGCTGTGCCATTCTGTTGCATTCTTTAAATAAAGTGCTCCTTGGTTCTCACTGTTTTTTTCTTGTGCAGAGTTATACTCAGTATATCCCCTTGCCAATAAGTGACCTTGATTCCTGGTTGAAGACACCGTCAATATATGTGTTTGATTGTTCTGCTGCTGGGATGATTATTAATTCATTCATTGAGGTATCCTACAATGCAGCTATGAATGTTTGTTTAAATTGATAATTTAAGTTTCCATGATTTCAGAATTGATATCATATATTGTATAGTCTAGACTTTAATGTAATGGTTGGATTTTGTTAGCTTCATGATTGGGGGGGTTCTAGCTCATCTGGATCTACAAGGGATTGTATCCTGCTTGCAGCTTGTGAAGCACACGAGACTCTTCCACAAAGTGCTGAATTTCCTGCTGATGTGTTTACTTCTTGCCTCACAACTCCTATCAAGATGGCATTAAGATGGTGAAATATAATACCCCATGCTTTCAACATTTGTTTATATTGTAGTTATGTTCTGGTGTGCTATATCATTTTACCTTAAACTTGAATGTGGCATGGGTTACATTACTTATTGACGAGAAAAGCCATAATAGGCATTATAATATTATTTTTAATCAATTATAGTTATTTAATATGCTCATATTACGATTATGTCCCTGAATTTTTTGTAATCCCCCACCACTTCACAACTCCCTGAATTTTTTTCATCAGCTGGTTTCATTTAACTTCGCCTTTTGGATTGATTTTATAACTTGCCTTCTGTTATTTCATGAAATCCAGGTTTTAATAGTGCTTACTAAGTCTTTGACTGTTATGTACTCTCTCAGGTTCTGCACAAGATCATTACTTCATGAGTCTCTTGATCATTCACTAATAGATAAAATCCCTGGCCGCCAAAATGACCGGAGAACCCTCTTGGGGGAGTTGAATTGGATTTTTACTGCTGTCACTGATACAATTGCATGGAATGTTCTCCCTCATGGTAGGTTTTTTAATTTACTGGTGTGATGTATCATAATTAGTATCTTTGATCTGGATGTTCATTTATGGCTTCTTTGGTGGTGGTACATCTATCCAATAATAAGTTGTGTTGCAGATCTTTTCCAGAGACTGTTCAGACAAGACCTGTTAGTTGCCAGCCTTTTTCGAAATTTTCTACTTGCTGAGAGAATTATGCGATCGGCAAATTGCTCTCCAATCTCTCACCCAATGTTGCCTCCAACCCATCAGCATCACATGTGGTACTAAACGAGATATTTCCCAAGTTATGCTTTATATGTTAACTAAATCAATTGTCACTCTTTTGATTATGCACTCTGCAGGGATGCATGGGACATGGCTGCTGAGATATGCCTTTCTCAGCTTCCATTATTGGTTGAGGATCCTAATGCAGGGTTCCAGGTATGCTTGTTTTTCAAGTTCCATATCCATTGTTGCATTTTGTATGTAATACAGTTTGGATCATATACACAATGGCTTTATGCAGAATTAAATATTGTATGAGTTTCCTGTTTTGTATTTGCATGATTTGCCTACGTTTTGACTTGGACTTTGATCATTCTCTTTTTCTTTGTTTCAGCCAAGTCCATTTTTCACTGAGCAGTTGACTGCTTTTGAGGTATGGCTTGACCATGGATCCGAACACAAGAAACCACCAGAGCAGTTGCCTATTGTTCTTCAGGTGTGGTGCTACACCTCTCACTTTTTGGTTTTGGGTCAACCAAAAGCTTTTCTTGGATATAGATTTGATATATGCATTTTTCAGATAATATCTTATTGGTTTTGGTTGTTGACATGGGTTGACAACAGTCAATTCCAGTCTGGTTGATATCAAGGAGCTAGTATCCAATATGAGGCATTTGACAGAAACTTTGCTTAATTGTGTGCATTTGGTAATAGTACATGATTAGGTAAATCCAGCTTTGAAGTTAACCGGGAAAAATTGGCATGTTAGTCCAGGGTAGTATTGGTTAAGATCATTTTCAATGAAGTTTAGCATGGTCGTAAGCTTCTGCTGGTGCACTTTGGCTTGAAAGGAACTACTTTTCTTTGAATATGTTGATTCGGCTTGTGATTTTGTGATGTTGTTTATGATCATGTATTGGTGTATTAAGTTCATTCTCTGCCTGGTTTTCTATTCTGTACAGAACCTGACAGAATATCATCTTTATTTTAGGTCTTACTTAGTCAATGCCACCGATTTCGAGCTCTGGTTCTTCTTGGAAGATTCCTTGATATGGGACCCTGGGCTGTAGATCTGGTATGCGCTGTGGGATATTTCCATATATTCTGAAGCTGTTCTTTTTTGTTTGAATCCCTTTGCTCTTTGAGAGTAATATTTTGATTTTCTTTTTTAATAACATTTTTTTCTTATAGGCATTGTCTGTTGGGATATTTCCTTATGTTCTGAAGCTGTTGCAAACGATGACGCCTGAACTACGACAAATTCTTGTATTTATTTGGACAAAAATTCTTGCCCTTGATAAGGTATATATAGATAACTTCAACACATTCCATGTCTAGGTATCTATAATTGGTTTGGTGACTTGTTCTGTAATGCCCTCACTGCTTTATACCTTCTTCCAATCTCAGGCATCAATGTCTACATATCCAAAATCTTATTATCATTGATGTGCAAAGATGTGCTCGTTGCTTATCTGCCATTTTTAATTTTAATTTCAATCCCTTTTTACTAGATAAGTTCCTTTCATGTGCCGTATACCTGCCCCTTTCAGTTTCAGTTACTATATTAGTAATTGTGCTCTGTTTTGTGGAATCAGTCATGTCAGGTTGATCTTGTGAAGGATGGGGGACATACATATTTCATCAGGTTTCTTGATAGCATGGAAGCATATCCAGAACAGCGTGCAATGGCTGCTTTCGTTTTGGCAGTGATTGTTGATACACATAGACGTGGTCAGGAAGCTTGTATTGAAGCAGGTCTGATCCATGTTTGCTTGAAGCACCTTCAGGGTCCAACTCCAAATGATACACAGACTGAACCCCTATTTCTTCAGTGGCTTTGCCTCTGTCTGGGAAAGCTGTGGGAGGATTTTACAGAGGCCCAAATATTTGGTTTGCAGGCAGATGCCCCTGCAATATGTGCTCCTCTACTTTCCGAGCCCCAACCAGAGGTTTACCCTTTTACCATATTGCTTGTTTTTACATATTATGATTATCCAATGACAACTTTAAGGTTCTGCAATAGATTCTGTAACTCAATCACGAGGTTCTTCTATTTCAGGTTAGGGCTTCTGCTGTTTTTGCACTGGGTACCCTGCTTGATGTGGGTTCAGGTTCATGTAGAGATGGCGTTGGAGGAGATGAAGAATATGACGATGATGAAAAGATTAGAGCTGAAATTAGTATTGTTAGAAGCCTATTAAGTGTTGCTTCTGATGGAAGCCCTCTGGTCAGGGCCGAAGTTGCTGTTGGTATGTGATTAATCTTCTGATACATATTCATATGGTTGGACGTTTATTGCTTATTGGTAATATATACACATTAGATTTCTAGTCACCAGTACATGCCTAAGTGTTCTCCCTTCTGATTCTGAAAATCAGCATTATTCTTTTATGGTGCCCTGAACTTTAAATAGTAATAAAGAAATTTCGAGTAGGAATTATAGTTGAGTATGGTTTCCTCTTCATCTTGTCAGCTCTGGGACGCTTTGCCTTTGGCCACAACAAGCACCTCAAGTCAATTGCTGCTGCATATTGGAAACCACAATCCAGTTCTCTTCTGAATTCCTTGCCCTCTTTGTCGCATATTAAAGGTAATGTTGTTTCTTCTCAAATTGGTCCACTTTTGAGAGTGACCAATGATAACTCATTGGTTGTTCGAGATGGAAGAGTCTCCACCAGCAGCCCCCTTGCGAGTTCTGGAATTATGCATGGATCTCCATTGTCTGACGATTCATCTCAGCATTCTGATTCTGGAATATTAAATGATGGTGTGAGCAATGGTGGTGTTAACCATTCAACACCAAAACCCCTGGACAATGCAATGTATTCTCAGTGTGTATTGGCTATGTGTACCTTAGCAAAGGATCCATCTCCACGCATTGCAAGCCTTGGTCGGCAGGTGTTGGCCATTATAGGAATTGAACAAGTGGTGGCAAAACCTGTAAAGTCCAGTAATAATAGTGTTCGACCTGGTGAATCCATTACAGCATCTCCGACTCCCACTCTTGCTGGATTAGCTCGATCTTCTTCGTGGTTTGATATGAATGGAGGTAACGATATTCTGATGAAAACTATGCGGGAATCACTTGCTATCATTCATTGCCCTTTTTCTATTAATTGCAGGGACCAGTTAATAAGCTGAATGCTGCTAGTTATATTTTTGCTAGACATTTAGCTCCATTTGATGTTTCAATGCATGCTATTATTTTGTCTATTTAAACAATTTTTGCACTTCCAGTTTTAGTTCTTTAGTTGAGCACTGTTATTGACAGGTCATTTGCCTTTAACATTCCGAACGCCTCCTGTCAGCCCTCCTCGGCCAAATTACTTGACTGGAATGCGGAGGGTTTATTCTTTAGAGTTCAGGCCTCATCTAATGAGTCCAGATTCTGGATTAGCCGATCCGCTTTTAGGTTCTGGGGGAACTTCTGGTGCCTCAGAACGCAGTGTTCCTCCACAATCAACAATCTACAATTGGAGTTGTGGGCACTTCTCCAAGCCACTTCTCATTGCCGCAGATGACAGTAAAGAAATATTAACCAGAAGAGAGGAGAGAGAAAAATTTGCCTTGGAGCACATTGCTAAATGCCAGCACTCATGTTCGTTTTCTTCTCTAATTCTCCTTTGTTTTTTCACCTATTATTTTCATTAAATTCTTTGTGTTAGCCTTTGCTTATGGAATTAATGTATCTTCCATGTTCTTGGCCAGCTGTTAGCAAGCTTAACAATCAAATTGCTAGCTGGGACACAAAATTTGAGACGGGTACGAAAACAATCTTGCTGGAACCATTTTCTCCTATTGTAATCGCAGCAGACGAGAATGAAAGAATCAGGTGTGTAGGTTCTCAGTTGGTCAAATTTTCAGCAGCTTTAAATGTTATGTGATGTATGGCTTGATTTTGTCAGATACTGTGCATGGGTGTGTTTGTGAAATAGTAAGGCTTACTTTTTTCTTGGTTCTTCCTGATACACTAGCACAAACAAATACGACTCTGCTGGTTTGTATGATACTGAGTGCCAATTGAGTACAATGGTACTTTCTGTCTGGTTTGTATGATATATAATAGACGTTTTTCCTTCATTTGGCCTTTCTATGTGATAATAGAAGAGATTTATTTTCAACTTGGGATGTCTAGCAATCTCTTCCTTGGTTGAATAGTGTATCACACTATCAATCTTTTCCTTAGTTGTATAGTGTGTCACTCTTGCACCCTTCTGGTTCAGGCATTTTAATTTTCCATGACATATGGAGGATTCCGATTCCTATCTCGTTTGAAAAAAGAAATGGCCTATTATTGTTTCTTTCTTTCAAACCATGAGGTTATGTTTGGGTTTAGGGTAATTCTTGCTTGAAAATGGGTTCATGCATGTCTGAATTTGGTTCATGTTGCTTAATTTGCCAAGCTTTCTTTGCTAGAATTTATTGATTACTCTCAGTCCAGAGTCCAGTATAAATCTGATGATGTGTTAACATTTTGTTGTTTATTTATTTATAGGGTATGGAATTACCAAGAGGCTAAGGAGGCTACCCTTCTCAACAGCTTTGATAACCATGATTTTCCTGACAAAGGAATCTCCAAGCTCTGCCTTGTGAATGAGCTTGATGACAGCTTGCTTCTTGCTGCTTCAAGTAATATTCTATACTACAGAAATCTTAGCTTCTTAGTCAGGTTGGGCTATTATTGAATTTTTCTGATTTATTTGCACCTTTTCTGCGGTCATATAATTAGGTGATGGAAACATTCGAATTTGGAAAGATTATACTTTGAAGGGTAGACAGAAACTTGTTACTGCATTTTCTTCAATTCAAGGTCATAAACCTGGTGTGCGAAGTTTGAATGCTGTTGTAGATTGGCAACAGCAATCTGGATATCTGGTACTTGCTTTCTTTAAGATGCAATCAGTCAGGGCTGTAGGACACGTTTGTTTTGGTTTGCTTATTCTTTTTTGTTGTTGTAAATAATTGTTTCTATTACTTTGCCATTGTTATGTTTGCTAGTATGCTTCTGGTGAGATATCGTCCATTATGCTTTGGGATCTGGATAAAGAGCAGCTTGTGAATTCTATTCCTTCGTCATCAGATTGTAGCATCTCAGCGCTGGTGAGTTTTTAACCCCTCCTCTTACTTTTGATTTTTATTTACAACTGTAGTTGTATCACTTTTGCTTAATGAGAATTATATCTGTATCTTGTAGTCTGTACAGGGGATTTGTAATTGATTCTTTGATTAAATTAGGAACGCTTTTGAAGTTATTGATTTTGTTAGTTATGTAATATGTTGGATGCAGAAAATGAATAATGTAATAATTACTGTCTTGTGTAGTCTGCCTCTCAAGTTCATGGGGGACAACTTGCAGCTGGTTTTGTAGACGGTTCTGTTAGACTCTATGATGTGCGAACTCCTGAAATGTAAGTTCTTGATATCTTCTTCTGGCAAGATGCAAATATTAGTCATGGAATTCTGCCTGAGTTACTGTTACTATTGTTTAAATTATACTCGCTATGATGTTTATGAAAACACTACTGCTACTAGCAAATGAATAATAAAATGCTGCAGGGTTTGAGCTTTAGCTCTTGATTTTACTTTCTTGTCTTGATGTGATATTAACGATTTGCATAAGAGACTGCTTTAATCTTGTGCGTTTGTAAATGTTAGGCTTGTCTGTGCAATGCGACCACACACTCAGAAGGTTGAAAGAGTTGTGGGGATTGGCTTTCAGCCTGGGCTTGATCCTGCTAAGGTAAGTGGAGACCCTTGTTTTTCGTTTTGAAGTTAATCCTAGATCATCCCTTTACTATTGCAGCTCTTACATTCATTCTTGTGAAAGTGAAACTTACGTGACATTCTTGTCTTCATCCAGATTGTAAGTGCATCTCAGGCAGGCGATATTCAGTTCCTTGATATCAGAAATGACAGGGAGGCCTACCTGACAATTGAAGCTCACAGGGGTTCACTGACAGCTTTAGCTGTTCATAGACATGCCCCGATCATTGCCAGTGGATCAGCCAAACAACTCATAAAAGTCTTTAGTTTGGAGGGTGAACAATTAGGCACCATAAGATACTACCCTTCCTTTATGGCCCAAAAGATCGGTCCTGTCAGTTGCTTAGCCTTCCATCCCTATGAAGTGCTGCTTGCTGCTGGTGCTGCAGATGCTTGCGCATCCATCTATGCTGACGACAACTCTCAAGCTAGATGAGAATGCTAGTTCTTTCCTCATTGATTCGATAAGGGTTTCTTTCATATTGGAAGGCAGTGCAAGTGGATGGACTTCAAATGCAATCTTGCCATTGCAGATCATTCGGTGCATCTGCTCCATTGTGTGATAATATATTCCGCTGCCCAATTCCTCATCGGTGTCAATGGGCGGGTGGGTCTGGAAGCTTTGGTAGGGTGCTGTCTGCCGATGATGGTGTATGCTATGATATTCATTAGCCTCAGGTGTAGATGGTCACAATTGTGGGGAATAATTTCCTGCATATTTATTCGGGGCTCTGGAAAATAATCTGTTATATAGGGTAAATCCGTGTAAATAAACTTCCCTTCTTCTGTTTTTTCTATATAGTTCCTCATTTTGGTGTGTTCATTTTTATTCCCATCCCTTTTGTTCAATTTGTAAGAGCAACGCAGTTTAATGATCATAATCTTAGTGTTGCATGACGTGGGGATTAAACAAACTCGCGTTTGCACATCTTGTAATCTGTTGAATTTGTAAGTCGCTTTGCCGTTTAATTAACCATCATGTAACTTGTAATTAATTCATCAATTTGTTTGAGTTGGCATCTCCTCTTCTCCCTTGTCTTTTTATCAGCCTTTATTGAATCTGGCTTCTGGGTTTTCTCCAATGTATTTCAGCCATTGATTAAGACCGTCTTAATTGTTGTAAATAAAGAGAGCAACTATAAGATCATCTTAATTTGCGTTGTGGTATTAAGCTTCGAATCATGTGGCATTCAACGCCATGGTGTTTATAGTAATAAAAGTGAAAATTGAAGTGAACAATCGAAATGCTCCAAATATAGCTGAATTCTCGCACAGCTATGGTGCTTGTCGATGGTTCAGCCACAACGACTTGATTCTGAACGACATTGCCCTCAGAAAAGTTTCCAACCGTGGACTGATTTTCTCATCAGATTCGGATTGATCAACTTGTAAACATTCTGGGGGTATTAATTAAGGCTTCAGAGTTCACTTCGCAATAATGAAAATCCACAGATTATGAAACAAAATGCTACAAAGTCTTTAAGAGGCAATGATTCTTCTGAAACCCTACACACATAATTGGTGATCAATGACAACTGATAAGCTATGAGCGTATCAATCTAAACCAACTTCGAGTACATCCCAAACTGGAAGAAGATGCAGATACTGATATACAAAGATATACACATATATAGCTATTATATCCCGGTTTGAAACTCGTAGGCCAGTACTTCACTTCCTCCCACCCACCATACCTTGGCCGGCAGTCCCAGACAAGCTAGACGATGTGTTGCTGTTTGTCATCTTAAACTTTCCATCTGCATTGCCAAACACATTCAGATCTTCAAATAATCGGTATGAGGGAACAAAGGGCTTTTGTCCTGCTGCAGGGGCAGGGCTCCTAGGACCAGGGATCACTGGGAAGCCTCCATTGTTATCTGACCCATTGATTCCCCTCGCAGGAAACGAACTAAAATGCTGCAGAGGTCTAGCTCCTTGCGCCGGCATATAAGATGTGGTTGCATTGGCCCGAGGAGTTGAAAATGTATTATTCGCGGACAAATGGTTTTGGTTGTTAGAATAACCAGGTGTAGCTGCCCATGGTGGAGGGGGGTAGCCAGACGAATATTGAGGTTGAAATTGTGACTGGAATTGAGGCTGTGTTTGAGGTTGAAATTGTGACTGGAATTGAGGCTGTGTTTGAGGTTGTAATTGTGGCCGGAACTGTTGTTGGAGTTGGGGTTGAGGTTGTGCCCACGGAACAACATAGCTGTTTTGGGACGCCATCCCAAGATTTCCAGGATAAGGTTGTGAAGGATAGGGATTCCCTTGTACACTGGCGGAAACAGGTACCTGATGCATGTTGCCATTAGATGGAGCAGCCTGAGGGTTAGATGCTGGGGCATGAGGGGTGGTGTCAGGGGAGGCAGCTGTTGTTGATAAAGTGATACTTAATAGGTCAATCATGTCCTGCTCTTTTGTAGTCTTAACTTGTGCTGGTGGATCAGGCAGAGCTAATGCGTTGCTCGGGACAGATGTAGCTGTTGAGGAAGATGGATTTATTGTGCTGCTGGTGCTCACCAGCGCTAAACCATCATCACTGCCACTAGATGTGTTTTGAGGAGGTATTGCGCGTGGTTTAATATGCCTGCATCCATAAAACAAGTGCAACACCTATGAATGAAAATTTTCACCAAATTATGAGCTTAAGCCAGATACTGGGTATACCAAAAATGCTTTTATGCAGCATCCAATGGTAATGCCAGTTATTCATAAATCACAAACTGGTAATTAATTAAAATGGGCCAGGAGATGAAACTGCACCCCACTGGGCAGTTGTGGAAAGCGCTGGCATAAGAAATGCATTTTTGTGACCTATGAATAAGAAAATAGAAAACAGAGAAAGATGGCCAGTCATACGCAACCTTCGAGCTAGCTGTGCAAATTCATCTTCCTCTTCTTCGTCTTCATAAATCTGGACCCTTGTCATGGTACCAACTGGTGCAGACGGATTAGTATTAGGTTTTGGACTAGAGTCACTTGTGCTGGAGTCTTTTACTTCAGTCTGCTTGGAACTGGACACAGACTTTTCAGTTGGCTGGGGACTGACATTTGTAGCTTGAGTTGGCACAGGCAAACCAGAAACAATGGCATCATGTTTTGCAAGCAAACTTTGCAGACCATCATTTAAATCGAGACCTCGAGCAAGAAGTTCTTCATCTCTGCACGTTACCAAAAAAGGTAATGTTAAATATTTACCACCCGTGCGCTTGCCCACATACGCACTTCTACATAAAAAATATATAGGAGTATGACAGCACATGAAACGTAACACTTGAGTGAGTAATCATCTTCATCATATGAAGAACACACAAAACCACTGGGTTCTGCCAAAAGGATGTTTCCAGGAGACTAACCCAGTTGTAGTTAGCATCTGCATCAGTTTTTTCTGGTTGGCACGACACCGGTTGACAAGATCGACTATCACCTCATCTTTTATGGCCTACAAACACAGAAATGATAGGTAAATATCTTAACCATCAGTTGCGAGGAAAAAAGTTGAAAATATTAATTGCTCCTCATACCATACGGTCACTAGGGTTCACAGCTTGCAGCATGTCACTTAAAAGGTCCATAACATTCCTCATAGAATCCAGGCTTGACAAACTAAGATTATTAAAAGGAAAATAAAAAATCAGACTGAGGAATGAACAAAAGATAGATGTTTTAAAGCAATCCTAAACAAGAGCTCTAAGAAATGAAGAACTGGAGAAACAGTAGAAACCAGTAGGGAATCGACAAGAGAGTCCAACTCTCACCTTAAATTCTCCATTTCTGTAGCCATCGTTTCATCAAGCCTTCTTGAGGAATTGCTAGGCATTCCATATCCTGCTTGAGCATGTCTCAATGTTGTCTGTGTAACTGGCGGTGTAAAAATTGCAGGTGCTTCTAATGAATGCTTGGGAAATTCTACTCCAGAACGCTGTCATTCATGCAGTGCATGGTTATTAAATAACATCTCTTCGGCTAGTCAAATACAGAAGAATTTTCATTTTTTAAATTACCATGCTCTTTCAGACATAACAGAAATAACTGCAGAAAGAGGGGGAGCATCCATCAAAGACATCTCTGAGATTGCACTTAAGAGGTTCTAATACATTGGGGTACTGCACTACATATGTCTCTGATTATATTCACTATCTTGATTTTGTATTGCCCCTTAATTGTCAATGTCAAACTTGGAAGCACATTATCATTAAACATAAAAAGCTGAACCAGATAGCTAAACTTATACCCTTAGTTCTTCGCATGCCCAGTAGTACTGAGGATGTTTTCCTCCAGGTCCACCAAATGCCTCTTGCCAACAGTCCAGCAATATTAAGATTTTTTCCCTTACCTGCATATCTGCCTGATATTCCATCCATATATACGTTTTAAAGTGAGATGGAAGGGAAAAACTGAACGGGAATGAAAAACTAAAACGACGGATTAGAGTCAAATAGTCAGAGTAATGAAAAGAATATGCTCATCACTTAGGAAATGAAGGTTCAGCGACCAATAATGCTGAACAAAGAGAAGAGGCTTTGATGTATCCCACATACAAACAGTACCAACAAAAAAAAAAAAAGATGCAGTACAAAAGTCATGCATAGAACAAATGTCAAAAAAGCATGACTAGAGTACATTAGGACATTTGCAAACACATGTCATCAAGCTCATTTGTGTTTAAATTCACAACACCCAAATTTATCTAAGACGTAGGGAGGCTTTGAAAACCACTATGAACAGGCCACTTGAACCTAATCATACTAATACCAAACACACACACCCTAAATAAAAGTACTTGCAACACTATACAGAATCACACACTCAAAGAAACTGTACAGGTCAGAAGTCCAAGGTTTAAAAGAATCAGCAGGTCAACAAATTTCATCAAAGAACGCCATCATGAAAGGAAGTGTGAATGAAACAGAGTCCTTAGAACCATTTAAAGCCCATCTGTCTTGCTAATAGATATTCTAGAAACGTTTCAGACTTCCAGTACACTATATTTGAATACATGACCTGGTCTCCATAGAGTCAAGCTATCTATCATTGATGAAAAGAAATGAAAAAACAGCTCCAGAGACAGATGAAAATAAAACTAACCTAAACACTAAGCTTTAAAAAAATTGAAACAGAACCAAAATGGGTTTATAGCTCACAATACTCTGCCAGACAACTACATCTTCAAGACTTACCTTCTTTCTGACAATTTTGACCATCTCGCCTAGTATATTTCTCTCTGCAATTTGAACATGGACATAATCACCACAGTTCTTCACCATTGTCTCCAAAAGCTACGAAAGTATAGCACACAATTAACCGAAAGTAAAGAAACGTTTCCAGATCTGACATTTAAATATAAAAAAAGCATGCAGATGGTTCAAATTGGAAGGTGAAGAAGATAAAAGGATTTCAGTAAAAGTTACCGTCAAGGCTAGAAATTGAACTTTGGAGCTCTTATGCTGCAAACGTCTCTTTACTGCTTTTACGACATCTTTTGCCTGCCTGATAAATTTAACACGTCCACATCAATGAACAATCACAAACAAATTTTTTTAGAAGAAAAATAAAAGGACAGCGCAAAACACACTATAACTGTTATACAACAAAATACCACATAACACAGCTCTTAAGAACAGAAAGAAAAATTAATACATAAATCTGCCTACGTTTCAGGTACCAAAAGGGGAAAAAATCCAGAAACAGAGGAGGAAATTAGAACAGGGCAAAGTGTTAATTTTATCTTTCCACCAGAAATCTACATATCTATAGAAATATTCTCGTTTTGAAAGAGTGTTGTCCGCTACTTCTAAATCCTCATCTGTTTCTGGAATTAATTAATCAATCCAAAAAATTGACATACTCGAGATATTTCAATCCAATACATACTCCAGAAATTTCAAATTGTATAAAGAAGCCATATAAAATAATTCAACAATAATATATGTATATCATTAGAAAAGCATTTACTTCATTCACTCTTCTCTCTCTCGGGCATACACACATATGCATACATACAAATCCCAGCGAAAAA